GGCCATGCAGCCCCATATGTGACAAACTGCAATGCATCCTGTGTTTAGACATTCTATTGGAACAGCATTCACTTTTTCATCAATTTGAGCTCCGGTAGCTCTCCTATGGGATCAGTCTACACAGGCCAGACTTTACTCCCCATGTGCTTTAATGAGTGTTGGCTGCCCATGCCCTGTTGCTGGTTCATCGGTTTTACTTCCTTGGTCCAATTTTGGTAGATTCTGATCACTGCAGACCGGGAACATCCCACAAGAGCTGCAGTTTTGGACTTGCTCTGACTCAGTCGTCTAGCCATCACAATATGACCTCCATGTGCTCGCCAATATGTGAACAACCTATGTAACTATGTAATATGTTCGGGCAAGGAAAGGGGTGGTGCCTATGCAAATACTGACTTTGAAAAAGTCTGTACTTTCATGGCCACTTCAGGGGGGCTCTGGCTGCATCAGAGTGACCCACCGTAACATGTGCAAATCCAACTTTTATATTCCCATTGGTTCACTTTAGTGGAAGTAAGCCCAGAAACATTCAGGTAGCATCTGCAGCTATTGATCTCACAGCAGTTCCATGTGTTTCCATGGAGTTGCCGTCGGCTTGAGCACAAGACCACAAAAGAAATCGCGTATTAAAAGAGCTGCACACTGGCGGATTAGTCATTCTGAAAATATTGAGCGCCGTTGCTGAATACAAACAGAATTGTATTCATAACATATATTTATTTTTTTTTGTCAATCTTAAAAAAGAAAAAGGAAAAAAGTGGATGGGAAACTATTGTTTTGTGTGCTGTTTTTGACCCTGAGCTTTAGGGAAAGAAGGCCGTGACTGCTGTGAGCATTGTATATTAAAAGTAAAGCTGGCCATACACCATTAGATTTCCCGCCAATTTCCCCTTTCTTGTTTACCATAAAAGTGGAATCTCCCCGTCCTATACTGGGAACGCAAGTTCAAGTGTAGAAGAGATATGCATAACTAGACTGCTGGAGGAAGTGTTGTAAAGCTTGTCACATGGCTGTTCTCTGCTATAACTTCTTCAGGATGGTTCCTTTTATCTGCGTGACATCTCGGCCAAACAGGAAAACACGTACGTCACAGGCTTGTTTATCGCCCGCACTGCTATGCTAGGCATCTAGTCTTTGTTTTTCAGCTTTCTGCCAGAGTGTGTGCATGGGGGAGGGGGGGTGGGGGGGCTGGATGGAAAGGCCAAGACCCATACACCTCAGTCTGCAACCCTGGTGGCCAACCTGGTCTGGGTGCCACTTTGGCATGTACTGGGTGGCCCTCAGAGACCCTCCAGACTATAGTCTGAATATATTTTAGAGTTTCAGTATTTAAATGGTTTGATTTGTTTTTTTTCCCCTTTTTTCTCTCTTTATGTTTTTCCTCTTAACATTTTATAATGGATTTTGCAGTGAGCTGTGGAGGGCACAGATGTGGAAGCATGGCCTTCTCAAGGGCAGTGTCATATATTGTGCTATGGATTCTACTGTCTTCTGAAGTATGTCCCCAGTCAGCAAGAACTGACCATCTCTTGTAACATCTCTGCAGTCCCTGACCATCTCTTGGACCATCTCTGCAGTCCCTGACCATCTCTTGTAACATCTCTGCAGTCCCTGACCATCTCTTGGACCATCTCTGCAGTCCCTGACCATCTCTTGGACCATCTCTGCAGTCCCTGACCATCTCTTGGACCATCTCTGCAGTCCCTGACCATCTCCTGTAACATCTCTGCAGTCCCGCCCAGTTTTACAGTGGTAGAATGTGTGACCGGTCGCACATTTTAACGTAATCCCACCCAGTTTTTCAGTGTTGGAATGTGTGACCACCAATAGGTCAAGCATTCCAACGCTTTCTCAGCTCAGGGCAGATCGGCATCGCAGATCATATGTGCAGGATAACTGATCTTCCCTGGAACAGCTGATCGGTCCTGAAATGTCACTTCTATCCGACTTTGCGTAATGTCAAATCACACTCAAGTTGGATAGAAGTGACATTTCAGGACCGATCAGCTGTTCCAGGGCAGATCGGTTCTCCTGCACATACGTTTTGCGATGCCGATCTGCCCTGGAACAGCTGAGAAAGTGCTGGAATGGTTGACCTATTGGTGGTCACACATTCCACTGCCGAAAAACTGTGTTAAAATGTGTAACCACGTGACTGGTCACACATTCCAACGTTGTAAAAATGGGCAGGATTACGTTAAAATGTGTGACCACGTCCCCGCTCACACATTTTAACGTAGTCACAAACTTTAATAGAACACAGCCACACCCACTCCTCCAGACTGACACCCTTCCATCAAGGCATTTTGATATTTGCATAACTCCTCCCAAGAGCCAGCCCACTGCTTGCATCAGGGCTAAGGTCCGTATTGCCTTGAGAAGCACCGATACCCTGTGGTGACATTTTCATTAGATATGTAATAAAATAGAAACATTTTGTTTAAACATTGCATTAGCATGTGGATGAGGGGCAAAGGAGCAGCCAGGGAAGGCAAATTATAAGCAGATTAAACTTCGGCTTTCATTTCAAATGTTGAAATAAAATTGAAGCTGTAATTGAATTAACCTTCTAGCAGACAGTTCCGCGTACGCCCTCCATTGATTTGCAGCTTGTTATACTATTTCGTTTCCTCGTACCTCCGCACTAGGAAACCTTTTACTTTCAGGGGTTAAGGTGCTTTTTTTTTTTAAATCTCTCAAGTTCTCGCTTGCATTGAAATTGCAGCCACGCTGGTGACGGCGATGTGGTTTTTAACCGGTCTAGCCACATTTAGCAATATTTTACTTTAGTTTCCATACTTGTGGTTGCGCCCCCCCCCCCCTTCTTCCTGCTTTCTTTGCTTACTTCCTTGTCTTATATAAACAGTCATCTAGTTCTTCTAGCAAGTGACGCCATTGTGTGAAATCTGCAGCCTTTTGGCTTTGTACTCGGCTCGTTTTCTTGGCTGGGGTTGTGATCAGAACTCGAGGGGTGTTTTTAAAGGTTTCGTTGAAGGTTTGCTTTACTATTGTCAAGTGCAATATATTGCTTCTTGCTGCAAAAGAGCGTGGTATTTGGAGTACGTCCTTTGTGTTTTGGGCTGGAAGAAGAAATTCTAAATTACTCTTTTACCTGTTTTGTAGTATTTATCTTTCCTATTTTTTTTCTTATCCGAAACTTCCATTTACACCAACCTCTTAGTACCAACACTACTTTCAGTCACATTAGAGCCAGCTGAAATATCACAGCTTTTTTATCTCTTTATAGTCCTGTACCGCCATATGTTATGATTTGAGATTTCTTTTTGGTAGAAAATGCCCTAAAATAGCTTTTTTCTTTTAGTGAAAATGCTGCTACATGCACTCCCCTCTGTGTTGGCAGAGCTGAGTACCAGCCGCACCCCTCCGCAGAAGTGTCCACACACAGCTATGTCAACACAGGGGGAGTGCAATACAAGTCTGTATGTGGACACTTTTTTTCAAGGAGCGTGGCTGTTACTCAGCTCTGCCAACACAGAGAGGAGTGTAGTCTGTGTGTGAACACTTCTGCCAAGGGCTGTGGCTGGTACCCAGCTCTACTAACACGGGGTGTGCAATACAATTCTGAGTAACCACTACACCCTTGGCAGAAGTGTCCACACACAGACTTGTATTGCACTCCCCCTGTGTTGGCAGAGCTGAGTACCAGCCACACCCATCAGCAGAAGGGTTCACACACAGACTTGTACACTCCTCTCTGTGTTGGCAGAGCTTTGTAACAGTCACACTCCTTGACAGAAGTGTCCGCACACACTTGTATTGCACTTCCCTTTGTGTTGGTAGAGCTGAGTAATAGCCACACCCCTTGGCAGAAGTGTCCACACACAGCCTGTATTGCACCCTCTCTATGTAGGCAGAGTTGAGTACCAGCCCCACCCCTCGGCAGAAGTGTCCGCACACTGACTTCTACCCTCCTTTCTGTGTTGGAAAAGCTTTGTAACAGCCACAATCCTTGAAAGAAGTGTCTACTCACAGACTTGTATTGCACTCCCCTTTGTGTTGGAAGAGCTGAGTAATAGCCCCGCACCTTGAAAGAAGTTTCCACACACAGCCTGTATTGCACTCCCTCTGTGTAGGCAGAGTTGAGTACCAGCCCCACCCGTCGGCAGAAGTGTCCACACAGAGACTTGTATTGCACTCCCTTTGTGCTGGCAGAGCTGAGTAAAAGCCACACCCCTCGGCAGAAGTGTCCACACACAGACTTGTAATGCAGAGACATGGAGGGGCAGGTCTGATCAATTCTGTTATATTACAGAGTGCACTGGGTCTAACTCAGGTACCTTCTAAACTGCACAGTCCTATTTAGACACCCCGCATATGAAGGTGGAGAGACAATGAAAATGAAAGTCGTTAAAGGAGAGTTGTTTTTGGTAATGGAATAAAAACTTTCCTGGAAAAAAAACCAAAAACTTTTATGTAGCGAGTGCCGCCTTCCGTCTGCCCATCACTTCCAACAACGTCCTGGATTCCCAGTGTGCTTTGTGTCCCTTGCACTAAGGTGTCCGGAAAAAGTGACAGTAGTTGTAACAACTGTCACTTTTGTTGGCCAGCTTGGTCTGCATGTAAATGTAGAGAAAAATATTAACACGGGTATGTGAAATAAAGTATAAAAAAAGTAATTTATATACTGAAAAGTATCGTTGCATACAGTATATCACCTGCTGACCGTTATCAGAAGCAAATATTTGTCACCATAGAATTCCTTACATTTGAGCCGGAATGTATCAAAGTCCTCATACCGTGTCTGTGTGGAGGGGGCGGTGACGTCCCTTACCTGACCTCCATCTTTGTAGTGTTATATCTTACCATTGTCCGTTGTTCTCCTGTGATCAGTGGGGCTGTCATACAAGTAGCTTTAATAATTTGCTATGTTGGCAATGGGTGCAGCGCATAGTCCAGGGCAAAAACATTTTTTGCATTTTATAGCAGATATTCTGTTACTTATATACATTTATGATGTTTTCTCTCCTCTTCTCTATCAGTGGATGAAGAGCTGGTTTCAGCTGGACACCAGTCGTTATCTCAGATGCTGGTTCTTCAATGCCAACATTTCTCGCAGCGGCGGCCGCTTGCTCCTTGAGCTCAGTGACATCTCCGAGTGGCAGGGCGGACCATACCGCTGTGTGGGCACAGCAAACGACACCAATGAAGTTTCGGAGAACATCACCATCCCGATAATCTGTGAGTACATATGTGTTTGATGTTTTCAGCCATAATTAAGACTCCATTCAAGTCCAAAATTTAAATTTTAAGAGGACAGTTGAAGGGTTAGCTCATCTAAAACTGGTATTTCAATGTGCGGTGGATTTCTTTTGCTTGAAGGACTGGTGGTAAGAGTTCGCCAGTGAGTTCCTGGGTCTGCACGCCTGGTATGATGGGTTCCCACTCTCCCTGACCATTTAAATTTTTTTTTTTTTTTGAGAACGTAGCAGGAGGAACTGTAACATGCAATGAGATTACTAATAGCAAAGGTGGCTGGGAGCTTCATCACTGAAGGCCACCAAAGCCATAAGAAGGCTATTGGTAACTCAACCTAGCAGACTCCACCAGTAATAAAATATCACTGTTGGAAGTTCTACCCCTTTAAATAACCAATGTGATTGGTGCCTATGTCTATGGATCTGGAGGTCTAAACTTAAAGGATCCTGTGCATTTCTACTAGACGTTATATTCTAAATTGTTAGACAATATTTTGAGTTTTGCATGATAACTAATTAATTGATTAAATAGTTGGTCCAGTCAAAGTAGTGCATTTGAGAGTGGACATTCGCTTATTGAATCACCTGATGGCTTCTCGCATCTTTTGTCAATTTTTAGGAGCCACACACTTAGTAACGCAAGCGATATTTGTTCACCCTCACCTCAGGGGCAGCGCTGTAATAGAGGACATTTCTCCCAACTTTTTTTTCTCGCATCTTTTGGGTACCCCAGTGGCAGAGTTCAAGGCTGTACCACCATTACAAACCAAGCAATGTAATCTCCACCCATCTCAGTGTGCTTCAGAATGTCAAAGAAATATGGAATTCAGCAGTAATTAAGCACAGTGAGACCCCTTTTAGATGTGGGCATCTCATCGAGAAGTGTGGGTGGTCCGACCACTACTTTTTTATGTCTGTGGTAGTACGAGATTTCACCAGCAGGTGGTGCTTTATGTGAAACTTGGAACTGCCACTGGGAATTGCAGAAGTGGAGGAGGCTGAGCGGTGTGATTACGTGTAGAGGTTTGGAAAGTTCTACATTTCTCTGTAGGTGTTTGGTAAGTCCCTTCAGGTCCTGACTTACATCCTCTCTATAGCTTTTCTGAGAATCCCTTTTTATTTCCTCTGCAAAGCTTTCCCTTTAATACTTATTATGTCCCTGGAGATTTTGCTAAGGAAGAAATGTGACAAAATAATCTAGGGACTGCCAACCACCCAGTGATGTCCTGGTCCCTGGGGCACGTGTCCCAGATCTATTTCTAGGTGCCCCGGGTCCCCAGCCTCCAGCTTGCAGGCGTCTTTTATTAAAGACACTTAGAAGACACAGAATATCTACGATAGGATCCAGCTTCTGATTGGCTATTATAGCTGTCATTGGGCATACAGTTGCCTTTTGAATGCTCTTGATGGGCCGGCTGAGGGATTGGTTAAAGTGCTGGTACAAACCACAAAATACATTTTTATACAAGATACTAAAGTTCCTAATTAATATCCTGAAAACATAAATCATATAATGGGAAATATACTATTTTAAGGTTCATACAAATACATGTGTCAGCTGTGCAAGCATTTTACCTTGCTACACCCATTTCCTGGACCTCCTCATGTCAGCCTACCAATGGTCATCTGTACCCTCCTGACCCCCTTTTGGACCACTCCTTAACTAGCCTAGTAATGGCTTTCTTTGATTTCACTGCACACTGTGAGCTTGTCATTAGAAGCTGCAGCAAGTCAGGTAGAGCCCGCATTATTTCCTGGGTGGTGGATGTCCAGCATCATCTAGCCCAGGGGAAGGAATACTCCGGCCCTCCAGCTGTTGTAAAACTACAAATCCCATGAGGCTTTGCAAGACTCTGACAGCCACAGACAGGACTCCAAAAGGCAGATTCATGGCAGGCTTTGTAGTTTCGCCACAGCTGGAGGGCTAGAGTTTGCCTACACCTGATCTAGCACTTTTCTTCCCGGGCCTTACTGCCCCTGGCCCTCCCATTTCAATGATTTGAATTTCAGTTTTTACAATCATGGAGGCTGGGCATCACATGGGGGAGTTATATATGGTGGCCTGCATGCTGCTCAACTGTCAGACATTTACATTTTGATATTTGCATAACTCCTCCAAAGTGCCAGCCCACTGCTTGCATCAAAACTGAGGGCAGGATGCTGTGTAGCAAATAAAAAGTCAGCTTTAATTTTCCATCAGGCTTCTCAATTTATATCATTATAAACACTCAGAACTATATGTGTAATTTATTATTATAGTAATTGGCACTCAGAAAAAGCACAAAAGATAATGTGACTTTTAGGGGCTGTTTATTTCTTGGTGCCCTGGTGCGTTATGTTAAGACAGGGGTAAGCAACCTCGGCACTCCAGCTGTTAGGGAACTTCAAGTCTCATGAGGCATTGCAAGACTCCAACAGCCACAGGCATGACTCCCAGAGGCAGATGCATGATGGGATGTATAGTTTTACCACAGTTGGTGTGCCGAGGTTGCCTACAGCTGCGTTAAGGCAAGCCCAGACATCCCAACTCCTCCCGGATGTTGCGGGAGTCTCCCGTTATTAGATAGCGGCTCCCGGCCGCCCGGGAGAGAACCATTTTGTCCCAGAAAGGTTTACTCTGTTCGATCTAGCAGAGTAAACCTTTCCATGCTATCTGTTTTTTTTTCTTCTGACATCGGGGCCGCTGGCTGCCGTCAGTCAGAGAAGAAAGAAAAATAAACCAGCATAGGAATGTATAGCTAGACTTCTATTGGCTATTTCAATTTGCAATAGCAGGCTAGCTATTGCACCCACCCACTGCTGTTGTCAATCAGCAGAGGTGGACCTGAAGTTCTCCATCAGGTCCTCCTGAACTGATTGATCACATCAGAGGGCGAGTGCAATAGCCAGCTTGCTATTGGCTATTGCAAATTGAGATGGCCAATAGCAATCTAGTTATTCATTCTTATGCTGTTTTTTTTTTTTTTTCTGTATTCTGACGGCAGCAGCTTTCAGAATATAAAAAAATAAACCCAGCAGATAGCACGGGTAGCATTAGCTTCTTTGCTATCTGCCATTATTTCAGGGGGGTCCCCCCCCTCCCAGAAATGAGAAAGACACCTTTCTGAAATTACTTTTTTTCAGGTTGGGATGCCTGCATTGATGTACAAATCAACTGCTCTGTATTTATGTCAGCTGTTGTATATTTTACATAAAAAATAAATAATTATTCGACT